AAGAGAGACATGACATTCTAATATCTAGACATCTAAGGTGAAAAAAGATTTTAGAACGGATCTTAAGGATATGATTTTGGATAACTCAAGATCATCATATTTGAGCTTTTGTACATTTTTGTGAATCATGTTAGTGTAATAAAGCACGCAACACAACATCTCTTAGACCATAGTAGCCAATTTCACTATCCACGACATGTAAGGAGTAAGTGATTATAGATCTCATTATATATTTGTCACAAACACTTCAAAATCACACCGCAATTGCTGTCTTTGTGGATCAACTCTCAAAGCAACTCAGTTGGCCATATTGTACTCAAATATTAATGCCCCAGCACTTGCATGGATCTTCTTCAATACTATCTTTTCTCATGATGGATTACTTTGTGTCATTGTTTCAAATCGAGATCCATACTTCACAAGAAGTTTTTAGTAAGCCTTATTGAAGCCATTAGGTACACCACTTGCTATGTCTATAGCTTTTTATATCCAAACAAATGAACAAATAAAGCATGCAAATCGAACCTTAAAAGATATGGTACAAGAATTTGTGGTAGTTTATTATAATGACTAGGATGAATATTTGACGCTCTTAAAGTTTTCTTATAATGATAGTATTCAAGTAAGTATTGATCATTCACCATTCTTTTTTAACACCAATGAGCATCCAATTATGCCAGCAAGTCTCTATTGTCTCATCGACACCAATAATCCAACAATAGAAGAGTTTATACAATAGCTTACAAGAAGCACGACATTACTTCCTTATCGCACAAAATTGATAGAAGTAATAAGTGGATAATCATAGGTAACATAAGATCTTTCAAAAATGTAATCAAGTATTACTCTGCAATGCCAACTTCTCACTTACTATATCAATTCAAATCCATAAATCGGCACCTTGGTGGCTAAGATCTTTCCATATTTTTGTAGTGATTTCTAATGTTGCATATTGCCTTGAATTTCCACTACATATTTGGATCCATTTAGTCTTCCATATTTTGCAATTCAAGGAATTTCATACCAAGCCAAAGTGCTTTCGAGATTGACATCAACCACTACCACCATCAATTGTAATTGATGACCAACAAGAATATAAAGTGGATAGTATTTTGGAGCATCGCTACCTTCATCATAGCTATGGATGTCCACAATTTCAATATAAAGTTCTTTGAAAAGATTATCCCATCCATGATATAACGTGACAACTTGCACAGAACCTCATCTATTACTAAGAGATAATTTGGAAATACCATCGAAAGCAAAATGAAGACATTTCATATTAATAGAAGGAGATTAATTGTAATGGAGTATAGATAAGATATTTGTATTATTGACACATAGAAATAGATAGTTGGAACCATGTTTGAGAAGTTTATAGAAATATCTAGAATTAGGGCTAGCTTAGTGGATTATGTAGGATCCACCATAGAATATTTTTAAAGAACTTAAGATAGTTATTTAAGTAAGATCCACTACAAAATATTCTAGAAAAAATTTAGGTTGGTTATTTAAATGGAGTCCACTATTTGAAATATTCTAAAAAGTTTTAGGATGGCTGGACAAAATATAAATAGGAATGGCTAGGGTCTTTTGAAGCATCTAGTCAGATATGGTTTTGGACCTTTTCTCTCAGTAAAGTTTGGTTTTGCATCTTCTTGTTTAGTTTTGTTTTATTCTGCCCTATTTCTATTTGCTCAATTTTGTCTTTTGTATCCTATTCTATTTAGTTCTGTTCAGTTTCATTTTGGTCCATTTTGTCCTACTTTGTGATGAGGTTTATGTTTTTGTGGATAGAAGGGTCTTAGACTCTTGAGATAGATCAATCCTGTTTCATTGTATCTTATAATTGAAGATTGCAAAATATTTTAGAATTACCAAAAGAATTATATATGCCAATATTTAAAGAGATAAATTGCTTCAAACCAAAAAAAAAAGTCAAAATCTCTTAGAATGCCCTTATAACTATAAATCCTAAAAGTAATATGCATTATGAAGAAGATCTACTTTGACATCATAGCCAAATGTTTTATTTATTTATATCTAACTTTTTTCTTCTTTTTAGACTTTATAAAGCTTATTTCTAACATTCCAACCTTAATTTTTTTCTTAAAAATGCACCAATGACTTTTAGGCTCAACAGTAGTATATTGTAAACTTTTGCAATATTTTTGCTGATCTTAATAAGTTTATTAAGAATATTTTTTTAATAATTATAATAAAGAATGATAAATAATTTAAAATTTATCTCTCAATCTATTTTTTATGTTTATTTTTTTAAAATTATAAAAATAACATGTTATTATTTTCATTTTAAATTGACACAATTAATGTGCTATCATTGGTAGCAAGTTGGTTACAAAACCATCAATAAAACTTTGATTCTTTATAGTATCAAAGACTAAGATGGATATTTCTTAATAAAAAAAGATTTTAACATTTCTTGAATTTCCTTCAAGTTATTCTAATATATTATTATATAATCCATGCTTGGATATTATATAAGCAATAAGTGAAAATTTAGGTCTTTTGCTCAAATTGAGCTTGCTATGGATGAAAATTCATTGGATATTATTTTTTTATAAACTTAGTTTTGAAGTGTGTATACAAAAGCTACCATTAATAAGTTATATTTATCTTTATTTTATTCAAATATATTTTATACATTAGTATTTTGTAAAAACATCAACTTAAACAATGAAGCTATAGAATAGAAAATTAAAAGACCTTTCTAAATATCAATTGTTATGTTCTTTGAACTTCAAAAGATAGTTCATACAAATGGCTACAAAAAATATAAGTTTATCTTTTAAAAAAATATATATTTAAAATTGTATTTATTCAAATGAATTTTTTTGTGAGTCCAAAAACTTTCATGTGACAATTTAAGTTGTTAGCCTAAAAGAAGGTGGTCTAAAGGTGAAAGAAAACCAAGAAAAGATGTAGTATTTTATAATAATTTTAACTAGTTTGATTGATTAATTTAGGATAGATTTTTTTGCTTGGAATAGATTTTGAATTTTATAGATTTAAATATTTATTTTCACCATATAGACTAGCCTTTATGGCACACATTTTTGTTTCAAAATATGAAACTATTTAAATAGGTAAGGATGTTGTTCTTCTTGTCTTTTTTTTTTCCACTATTTTTTTTTTTTTCTAAATCAGAAGATAGCAAATATTAAAAAATAAGTAGAGGAACACAATCCTATCCAAATTTAATATTATTGGAAAAAAAAATTATTAATTGATATTTATTAAACAATTAAATTTTGAGGTTTTTTGAAAAGTTTTGGATTAAGAATTGATTAGTTGAAAGTTAAATGATTGTTAAGCACTTTAATAACAATTACATATCCAAAGTTTTAAAATTATATATATTTTAAAGTATTTTTGGCTTTAATGATATAATGCCATGAATAAAGTAAAATTAATATTTTTATAATATGCTTAGTAATTAATATGCTTCATAAGTGGAATGCCATATATAATTGTAAAATTACCACTTAACGTACTATATATGCATGCAATAAATTTATCTCAATAATCCCTTATTTAAGACTCTTATGAATATTTACTAAAAATTTATCAAGTACAAGATCAAATTTGGACAAGGTCTTGTTTCCATGCTTTTACTTCAGAGCATAAAAGAAAAACCTTTGTTTAACAAAATAATTTTGTATTGAGAATAAATAAATAATAAAGTAAATTGTATCACATAGGATTACATGGCGAGGTTGGATCTTCAAATCTTTGGAACTTGAGATTAATTTTAAGTGACAATAATAGTCCTAAATTGAAGCATACATTAATCAATTAAACTAATTTGTATAATTATTTAACATCAGGTTTTTTTTTTTGTTGTGGACATTATAAGGGAAGGTAATCCTTACATTATCCTTCAAATTTAGATTTCATCCCTAGATTACCTTCCTTTATGCTACTCTAGTCTGCCTTCTCTTGGAATACAACTTGAGAAGACAAATTTTAAAAAAAAAATTGGTCTTGCCCAAACTCATAATTCGTGCGACCACATGTTTCAAATATTCATATTACCCGTAGCCCTTCTGGGGGTTGATTCCGTGTGACCACGCAGTAGCGTCACTTGGCAAATTCTGCCCCTGATCGTTAGCAAAAGCCCCAGAGGAAGTTGACTTAAAAAGTCATTCACTTGAGTTATTAAAACAACAAAAACCTCTAACTCATAGCATTTTGCACATGGTCTTCCAGAGATCAATCAGCTGCTCGACGAAACGACTCCACGTTCCTAGAGATAAGCTAATGAGGCACAACATGGATAAGAATTATATCTACCCCGAAATATATCTTTCGACCTATTAGATCGAGTACACATCGCAGAGACAAACAGCAGCTCCATTTTAGTACAGGATTTCAGGGCGATGGTTCTGTAAATCTCAACCAGGCACAGCACACGCACCTTCTGTTTCTGCCATATCACGCTTGCGTTCAATGTCTGTCATCGAGAAGCAAGGCAAGGTCAATGGGTGCCAATCGCCTGTTTCCAAGTATTTGAAAATTTGTGCGGGTAATTCCCTTACTGCGCGCATTGCATGCATGCATTGCATTGCATTGCATTGCACGCATTGCATTGCATGCATTGATTCTGAGAAACTCGCAGGATGTGTGTTTACAAGGGTAAGCGTGATTGCTAGGGGTGTCAAGAATTTTGCGCATATACTTCTGAAGGTCACGCATTCTCATGTGCTTATTTAAATGTTTGTTGACACAACAAAGCAATATGCAACAACCTTATCTATTCCTGGGACTAAGATGTTCCTACTTTGAGGCACTCAAGCATGGTTGTTTATTTGCTGTCATTATCTGAAAGATATCGGGTTCAAGTTACTTTAAGCACAAGTCTGACTCAACGCTTCCTGTGTGTTCATCCAGACAGCGAGGCACTTAACCAAGCTATATTTCAGTTCTTATCAGATATTTTCTAAAGAGTAATATTACACCACGTAGAAAATAACTTCCGATTATCAAAACAAATGAGAGTGTCTTCGGATTGCATACGTAATCAGAAACGGAATGTTTCACACGTACAAGATGTTTTACAAATCAAAATCGCTTATATTGGTCAAAACTAATTCCCGCCATTATAGTAGAAAGCATGCTGGATTTTTCCACACTCGCACAGTACTGAATAGAAAGTTTACAATCTCTACGCATTAATATACAGACGGAGAGTGCCACGACAAATAGGTGTGAGCTAGACCTTACACCTTACCCAACTCTGAAGGATTTCATGATCTCTTTCAACCCTGGTGCATGTTTCTTCCACTGACGCCCTGCAACAATCCATCATTTAAGTGGTTGTGAAAATCCCAAAGAACCAGATAGATCCCACTTAACGTCCCCGTAGGTTGATAATTCTGACAGGTAGAACAAAAGACAAGCATTTTTCGAGAATCTGAGAGATAGTATCTCAAAAGGTTGAAAGCAACATCTCTATCATACAACAATAGAAGAAAAAAAAAAGTCCACTAGTCGTAGTCCTCAGAATCGAGAAGAGAACTTCTGAAATGAGAAGCAAAAACTCAGTTCACACGTACCATTAGCACTGACGCTGAAGAGGTACAATCGGTTTCCAGCGGCTGTGGCTGCGATAAGCGTATGAGGCGCATCAAGCTCGAATTGGTAATATGTTCGGCCGTCATACTGTTCGACATCCATATCCTTGACTTTTCCTTCAACATTTTGCCCAATTATCTCCGGTCCAAATGCCGATATAACCTTCTCTGGTGACCCTACGGCCTCAATTGTGGCATTATCTCCAATTGCTGTAAAAACGAAACTGTGTTCAGAGAAAGCGCGATTGACCAAACGATTGTGTATAATCAGACATCTACGTTCGTATAATCGAGTTCTTCCGAAAGTCGCATGCTTTTTAGTGCGTATGATCTATATAATATGCAATGGCCCAGAAACTTTGCAACAAAAACTTACTACTAGAGAAACGTAAGACAGGCGCCACAACCACACTGATGTTGCCTTCTTGAGCATTCTGAAATCGCAGATCGATTTCCGTTCCTCCTAGATCAGCAATAGACACTGGTATCTGGTAGCAAATCAATCAACTGTTAAAACCCCAATGACTTCCCAATTCCCGCTGATTGATCATGATCTGAGGCTGTCATAAAAGATTTCCCAAAGAAATGGCCAATTCCACCACTGATTTATCATATCGTTCACAACTGCTTCATTATTAAGAAATTTCAACCATCCATTTTAATTAAACTTCTTTATATTGTATACCCTAGAGAAACATATAAATTTTCAAACCCTCAATTCAGCCTAGATCCTCGTAGCTCAATAAGATTTCTCTTTATTCCACGATACCCAACACGCATCTAACAACGAAGGGTAAGCGCATAGCACAGTTATGTACTGAAATGCATAAAAGTATACAGTCGCCAAACCAGGCCAACTAGGATTCTAACGGTCGAACTTTGCATTACGGATAACACTAGAGACATAACAAAAATGACATGAAATTACAGGGGCGTTCATTCAGTATTAGAACGACAAAGGAGTACATTTTGGAACTAATCTAGAATTCTAATTAAAGATAAATTGTCGACAAACTTTGCTGCCTTGTTCAAATTGAAATTCTAGAGATCATGGTGCAATATTACAGGAACCATGCGATAAAGCGATCGTTTGTAAACTTTTATTAAACCTACCTCCTCCCAATCTTGAGGAACTTTGAAAGAGTAAGGAGTCATCGGACTCCACCCTACCCCGTGCCCTCCAGATTTACCATCTGGCCTTCTGTATGTTCTTAGTCCTGAAAAAGCGACAAGTCATTGCACTCCAGCCTTAGCATCCCACTCCCCCTTAATTTTATAACTGCAACACACTGAAACAAAACTCAACGCCACTGAAGGATCAGATAGAACTATAGATACAATAAAGAAGAATACAAATGCAAGAATTGACTGTACCATTCGAATCCGGCTCAGAAAGTCCAGGTATACGACCGGCCAAAAGCGTCTGCTGAACGGCAGAAGCATTCTCCGGAGAGAGGGCCACAGCTGCTAAAGCAGCTGCGGTCACACTCAGACCGGCCAACGCTCCTCTGCGGCTAACCACAACCCCAGACCTCTCATCTCCACCTCGCTGTTGTTTCGTTACATCCTGACTCTCCCCCTGCCCCGATACCTGCCAGGATTTCGCGCAAACCGGCAGCGCAGCAGACCTACTCGTGGAGCAATGACTCGAAACGCAGTCCAGCTTGCGGCCCGCCACAAATGCGCTCTCCGAGGCGTTATACGCAAGCACAGGAGTCAGAAGGCCCCCGCTCAACACAGCCATCCTAATCCCGCTCAATTCAAATCACAAAATATAATCTCCTTCCAACACTCACTCAAATTCGATCAACACAGCGACGCAATTCCAGAGACGCAAAATCTCCAGTAAGCTCTCAACTCCTTCCAGTAGAGTTGAGTTCAAATTGTCCGGGGGGAATGGATGTTGGTGGCAAGTGCACACTGCTGCATGCTCCAATGCCAAGTTCGGATGGATGGCGAGCAGAGCAAAACGGAAGGCTGTACTACTTCGAAGCGAAGGCTCCCACGTCTCCTCCTCCCCCGCCCCCTCATCGCAGCCACGAAACAATTGCGAGGCTCAGCGAACGACAAGTTCTTCCGTCGCCCTCCCTCGCCGCCCTGGATCGGGCTTCTTCGTCCATGCTCGCTCCCCTCTCGTCCGTCTACGTTCCGAATATTCTCTTTGAGTTTCGATAGAATCTTCTAGATTCTTCTCGGATGTTTTTTTGTGTTCGTTGGGTCATGTGAAAACTGATACTTCACAAACTGTGAATTTATTTGTTCGTGACATTATTTTGTGTCTCTCTAATCATGACGTGGATTATGAAGTGCAAGGGTAAACAATAAAGAAAGAAAAACTGGCACCGATTACATTACTGGGACTATAAAAAGTAAGTGGGGGTATCATTACGTGTTTTATTTTTAGGATTTTTAAGATTAAAATGAGTGCATTGAAAATTTGCAAGGAATCATTTTTGAAAAATAAATAAAAACTTAAGAATAAGATAATTATTTCTAAAACAATAGATCAACTAGATCTTATCAATGATAACCGTAACATCTTTTATAACATTTGCATACTGAACTTTACAATATATATATATATATATATATGATCTTCACATCTAAAATAACAGTATGCATTGATTACTATACAAAGTATCGTAATTATTTTATATGGTTCATTCTTTACACATTATGTTTAAATTACATACAAATGTTTCATTGCTGACTCTAAAAATTATGTAATAATTCTAATTATAAGTACTAAGTTAATCTTAGGTGAGTTCAATACTAACCAAAGACACTATAAAGAAAAAAATCCTAAATTTTGTAATTTTGAATGTTTTTAATCTAAGATAAAATAAAACTATTACATTAAGAGCTATTGTATAAATAGTCATTGTATACTATAACATATTACACAAAGTACCACCAATTACAAAAAAAATGCTTTATAAACACATTTATAAAGAAAATTATGAGACAAGCTATCTCCTACTCTATGATAAGAGAATCCAAGAATAAAAGTGTAGAAGATATTTAAGATAAATAAAATATAAATTTAGAAAATTAATAAAGTAAGCTTAAGAATTATATAAGCTCCATAGTCTTAAATTTGGTTTAGTTTTAGAAATAAAAAAGGTTGTATTTGGCAAAGGCATTGCCAATAATTTTATTTAATTATGAAATCAATTAATATTCTATTTTATCCTCATAATGTAAAAACATTGATAGTGATAATAATAAATACATTGCTTCAAATCAATCTTAAGTTTATTACATTGTAAAAGACTTGAATCATCTTCAACTATTAAAAATTACTATGTAAAAATGTACTTAAGTCTCAAAATCCATGAATTTTATTAAAATAAAAGTGTATACAAAAATTTGCTTCAAAATACATGACTTAATATGTGTTTTTCTTTACAATATACTATATATTAAAACTCAGTTAATATTTTTATAAGTGTATACAAATTTATAATTTATGGTGTTAAATTTTGATTGTCATTATAACTTTATTCCTTTTCTTTTTCTACCAAAGTAGTTTCCATTTTGAAAAAATTGCCTTCAATCATGTTTTTTTTAATATTTTTATTTATACATAACGTTTATTATATAATTAGTAAATATTTATATATTTAATTCATATAATAAATATGTTGAATGACGGCATCAACAATCGTCTTGTTAAAAAGCATTTTATACAATAAATTATATATTTATCTTACAAAACAAAGCTTAAAATGTGTGTTACTAAAGGCTAAAAGCACCCAAGAAAAATAACTAAAAAATTGATAAATAAATAGCTGAGATTTATTCTAGTATATCATTTTAATCAAGTCAAAGATCAATAAAAACTAAAACACATATATGATTAAAACTCACATTAATTAGTATATACGAACCATGTTTGCTTAACAGTAGAGCAAGTCTGTGATTAAAAAGCATATTGTAACATGCTAGGGTTAAAAAAAACAAAAAATAAAAGATTGTTAATTTTATATCAATAAAAATAAAAAAATGTTAACTGCTTGTAAATATCTCTATTACAATTTCTAAAAAGGATATCGCATCATTAATGATATTATTTTTTTACAAGCTCTTATTGATTTTTAATTAAAAAAGATAGAGGTTTATTTTTTTCAAAATAATTAAATAGTGTAAAAAATTTAATTAAAGAGACAATGATCTAAAAATTCAAAAAATATAGTCAAATAAATGATTATCTAAAAATTCAAATAGATGTTAAAAAACGAAGTAAAATTATTCTTTTTTAGAATATCCTTTCCAAAGCTTTTATAGATTATTCAATAGTTCTATTTGCGATATTAAACCATATATTAACTACATCCAATTACTATAATTGTAATTTTATATTTTTAACTTTGGAAGTAAAATAAAGACAGGCTGTAGTAAATATGCAAGAAAGTGTTTATAATTTTGTGTCTAAAAAATTGTATGTTATTATATAAAAAATATGCTGACTATTAGAAATAAATCTTATGTATTTATTCAAATTTATTTTCAAGAAACTGATTTTTAAATGTGATCAAACATATATATATATATATATATATATAGATAGATAATCAGTAATTTGTTATCCATCTACAATATATCTTGCTTAATTTATAACCTTAGTAGATAAAAAAATTATATAGAATAACCAATATTTTATAAATCATGTGGGATTATGAAATTTCAAATGTTTTTTGTGATCTAAGCAATAAAAGAGCATGAAATCAATGTAGAGTATATATGATACATATTATAGCTGCAGAATGGATTTTTGTGTCTCCTTCATCTTTTTCACGTCACAATTGCCAATATATGGAGTACTTATATGGTGAAGTGGTCAACTATCTTTGCCCTTGCAACAACAAATCATCCTCTATGTAAAGCCTACAAGTGTATTTTTTTAGAATAGACTAAAATGCAACAAACAAAGTTTTTAAAGCTAATGACAAAGAATCTCAACAAAAATTGGAAGATGATTATGACACCTTTATTAAAACTAAGTCCATCAATCTTGCCAAACTGCTATTGGACATTGGAATATTGTGCACAATTTATATTGTGAAAGATTGTAATCTAAAAGAAAAAAATCTCTTTGGTTGTTGAGCCTCTTGGAATTAGCACAATAATCATAAGATACCAACATAAGAGTTTATTGATTTTATTATTTTCTTCTCTTAAATTAAGTATTATAACCAATGCCATGCATGTGTATATTCTTGCCATATGTCCTTATTTGTAGTGCATCTTTCAAACCTTATAAATATCAAAGTTACATGTATAGTTGAGTTTGATTTATTATGCATTTATAGTTGACTTTTATATATTATAGTCTTTATGTAGAATAACAATTGATTTTAAAAACATATTTTAATAATAAGATTTTGATAAATATAAGAGCAACAATTATTGCATGAAATTTTGTGCCTACTATGAAGTATGTTGCTTTTGACTTGTGAAAGTGCAATTGTTTGTACAATTGATTTTAGAAAGTAAAAATGTGTGGTTTTTGCATTTGGGAGGTATAGGTACTACAAGATGATTTTATAAGGCTTATTTTGGAAGTATCAATAATTATTGACTTTATCATTATGAGTATGTTGTTATTGTTATGAAGTTTTTAGAAAACAAAAATAGAGACTTAATGATAATTTTATATTATAATAACAAACTACACAGTTCATTAGCCTTATACGTATCTCAAGCTAAATATCCTATACATAAAAAATGACCAATATTATATATATGGATTAATTTAAAGATAATACATATAGAGATGGCAATGCTTATATATATTACTGTAGGAGAAATAGTAACAAAATTATGAAAAATGACAAGATATTTATTTTTCATATAAACGTCAAAGTGTATTTTATAATAGGTGGTGAGAAACAATTTTAATAGTATGCCTTGAGAGGATATGGCTATAATTTTTTTTAAAAATTTATGAACCTTCTAAAAGAAGAAGTTGATATAAAAAATTGATATAATTAAGCAATATTTGAATTCTCACTATTTTCATTACCAAAAGCATATTTGAGAATTTTAATTAAAAATTGTACAATACAAGCTACAGTATTTAATATTTTTAAGTTTGTCGTCCAAATCAACACAAAATGTACTATCTTCCTACTTGAATTTAAAAAAGAAGTAATAAAATATATATATATATATATATATATATATATATATATTAATTCAATTCTTTATACTATACATAATTAATTATTTAGCTTATAAAATTTATGTTGTAAAATTCTAAAATTACATGTTTGATAAAGAATCAAAAAAATTAAAGATTAAAGCTAAAATTTAATATATACAAAAAAATATGATGGAGGTCGAATTATTTGGAATTTTTTTGGCTATAATGTCTTTCAAGGGGAACATTGTCACTTATATACAATTTGTTCTATACCTGAAATCTTACTTCTTTAAAAGATTGTAGGAATTGTAAGAGTATATTCTATTTTTAATTTTGTATTCTAGTTCTTATTAATAGATGTTTAGAAGATGACACAAAGTGGCTTTTTATAATTGAATAACATTTGATAACAAAAATATGACACATGTATGACAAATATTGTTTGAATAGATTAATTTTTTAAAAAATCCTTTAAACACTAGATCTTTATAGGATAGAAAAGTCATTTTTATGGCCAAAATTTCTTTTTGTAAATGTTACCTATATAGACACATTTTTGCATTCAATTCTTAAATTATAGTTACAAAAGTGTATTTAGATATTAACTTTTATTTTCTACACAATTAGAAATTTGTATAATTTTTTATATCTACTTTAGCTAAATGATAAAATTCTTAATGACTTTATATGTGTACAAGAAGACCAATTGTTTAAAAATTACATGTCATATGACTCAGCCAAAATGAAGAAAGTTGTTAAAGATATTAATGCATTTATTAAAAAAAACTAAAATAACATATGGTGTAATAATTGCTAGTAAAAATAATACTTATGGCAAAAAAAAAAATAATAATATTGTGATAGATTTGGATGTACTTTACAAACATTTAAATTTGTAAAAAATTGTTCCAGGATAAGACTAGTATTACCAAGCTATCATATAACTAATATACAAAATTATTTGTATTAGGTAATGACTTTTATCAAATGTTTTCAATTCTCTATTTTAAAATAAGAAATTTTAATTGTCAATGCAAGCTTCAAATTCTCTTACTTAAAAAAATCTATGTAAAAAAAATCGCCTTATAATGAATATGAGACTAATTCAAGTTAATAACATTAAAGGCAATAAAAAAAAGTAAAAAAAAAAAAAAATTGTATAATATATTCATTGTGTTGGCAAAAGTAATAAGGTTTCTTATGCTGAAAAAATAAAAATAAAAATTGCATTCCTAATAGAATTTTTACATACATAATAAGTGTATGAACTAATTTAAAATGGATATTATAATATTGTTAACTATGCAAAAAACAAAAAATATATCTTAAATTCTACATTCTTACTTATCAATAATAAATAAATATATATATATATATATATATGTAAATGTGTAGGGGAATGTTAAAATGACCCAGGCTTTTGATAAATTAACCCAACAGTCTGAATCATCATACTTGTAGGGAGTGAAGGTGTGCTCTACGATCCCGAGGGCGCAAATGAGCGACTTGCGCGCAGACTGGTTGATGTCTTTGGAATTCTTAAAGGGGGCGATGAAGGGCTCGATCATGGCGTGGGTCCGCAACCTGACATCACAAGACATCGCTTCAGCTAACGGAAATCGTGATTACAATGCCAACGTCAGCGAAGGCTGGTTTGCTTTGCGACAATTTTTGTGGGACCAAAGGTGGCTGAGCAGTTACCAGGGGCTGATGACTTGGTGGAATGAAGCATTGTGGCTTAGAACGTGCGCTTTTGCAAGCTCTTATCCCCAATTCCTCTCCCGCCCGCCTTGACAGGGAGGAAGACTCAGGACTTCCAGCTACCTCCTTCCTTTCCTGGAAGAGACTACTCAATACAAACGGGTTTCAACGTCCTCCCCTCGGTCATGAAAAAGAGCATCTGGGCTGCGTAAGCTTGAGTGGATTTCAGGTCATTAATGCGCTGAATGTAGCCGAGTAACCGTTCTCGGTAATCCAGCACGAACAACCTGTTCTGTCGCAAGGCCTGGGTCAAGCAAAGCCGATACAAACTGTGAGCAATTGGTAACGAGATTTGGTCGCGCGTAATCAACAGGCTCTAGTTACGTGAGAGCAATGCATTTGTAGTATCATCTGGAGCATGCATTTCCTTCTGCTGCAATGTAAGTAGTGCCTTGAGGGTACGTCTAATTTTTCAAAGAGTTGCATGATAAAACGGACGTTATAATAAGCTGTAACCACTGTACAGTAAGAAGTAGTACTTCCACAACTGTTATTCTATTGAACCAGGACAATGAATTGTATGGATGTGTGTAGTTTACCTCTAGATCTTGTGCTGGATGTGAAATAGGATTACCGAGTACACAAAGATGAAATCCACGCAAAGTTGGTGACCGTTATGAAGGATCGTTTATTAACCCTCCAGTTCCCCACTTTATCACAACATGTGGAAACCTGAAATCGACCAGAGTATGATTACATGTCAGACCTGATTACACCCGATTATTCTATTTGTGAATTTCAAGTGATAGACATTCAAACGATGCTAGTGTGGTGTCCACACAGATCGCAATAGAGAAAAAGACCGTATGAGAGATGCCAGAGTGCAAGGCATACCTTATTCGAAAGCCAGGCTTTTTGAGTAAAGCTTGTGAAATTGCTCCCGTTCTGCACCCAAATGATGAAATAACAGGCTTCTTCTTTAGAGAATCGATGGATGTTATGTTGAACGAATTGCAGGAAACAAATCCATACAACTTTTTAACTGAGAGTAAGAGAACTCGGTCCACTCCGGCCCAGAAATCTAAGTAACTCTCTGAAGTATTTTGATATTGTGGAACCAGAAAGCGAACTTATGGAAGGAATTTATACACATGGGATGAATCTACAGGATTATGTCAATCTCACACTTCAATCAAGTTGGGAAGTTCTTCAAGTCATTCTGGAAACTCGTCGCTGAGATTTTTGTTGTTAAGATGCCTGTCAAGTTAGATGCATCAAGTCATCATCACCTGTTACAGTGGGAACAAGTTTTTTGAATAATAAATTACAAGAATAAAAACTGTATACGGTCAAACATATTGTGCTAACGCATATTATAGAAAATTAGGACCAGGTAACAATTGGCGGCGTGCAGTTTCAATTCCTGTGAAGGAAGTTCTGCAAGATGTAGAAAAATAGGTTTGGAGGTTAACTGACAAGGTATTTAGATAGGTGAGATCTCTCAGGTCAAGTATTGGCCCAGAGAATTGGTTGCCACTAAGATCACTGCACAAAATTCACATGAGCGGTTTAGCTAATCGGTCATTTAGACGTTCAATATTTAATTTTCCGAGTAAATTTCTGCAAGAAATGATATTCAGAGATGTGCTTATTGTGCATTCGTATCTTGCAATCCGATCGATCAGTGGGTGTCTGAAGGTTTGGGTTGGAGGTGTAGGAAGGAGTGAATGGTGAGTGTCGGGGATCTGTGCTGGAGGTTGCAAGCACTACATCGCCGTGATCGTAGAGCAGACTTTCATTTCCCAGAAGTACGCTCTCGAAATCCCATCGTACAACGCTTAGAAGGTCGGACATGGGAGCTGGGGGGACGACAACTCAAAAGCGGGGGAACAGGGAGGCGGGGTCAGGACGGGGATGGCGGCTGAGAACAGGGAGAGGGCTGGGATCGGGGGGGAACGGGGGGAATGGGGCTGGGAACAAGGATGGAAGCTGGGAACGAGGGGAATGAGGATGGGGGACAGGAGGACGCAATGATGGTTTAGACAGTTGGGTCAATTTAACACAAGTCTGGGTCATTTTAATATTTCCTTATATACATTTATAAGTTGAACTTTCATTTTCTATAGAATTGATTTAAATCAATAGAGACTTTGGATACAAATGTTTTATTTAAAATTTAAGGAAAAAAATTTAGTAAAACTTGAGCTTTTTATAAAATTAATAAATCTTTAAAATATATGTATTCCTATCTTAGGGTACCATTTATTAATACCTATGTTCTTTTATGGACAATTATATATTCTTTTTATTACAAGAAGAATCTAAAAATAGAACCATTTTTATTCCTTAGTGATGAATACAAAGGATATATTGTAGATATTATTCATTATAAAATGTTTGAATGATGAATTTTATGTTTTATACCTCAAGGATGTTTTTTACATATTATTCATAAATTCAAACAAGGGGCCTAATGCTCCAATCCATAGATATATATATATATATATATATACACACAAATTATATATTCATTTAAATACTATCTATAAAGCTTTGAGTTTTTTAACGTAAAATAACAAGTGTTCTAATATTATTTCATTGAAACATATAGAAAATTAATTTAGAAATTGATTCCATAAAATTAATAAATTACTTTAATAATTATATTCTTTGTACATTTTTTCAGTATATCTTTTGCTTAATTACCTAAGGAAAAAAATAAATAAATAAATAAATAACACTTTGAAGAGTACAAAAAGAGAGATCGAAGAATTTTCCTGCTTTAATCCCTCCAATTCAGCGTAGTATTTAACTTTTCGCACAACCAAAGGATGAAATGAATCATTGGAAAGAAATTCACCATGAGTCGATTTAGCACATGAAAACTGGATGAACGGAAGGAAACGAATGAACGCGCTGGTTGCGAAAGTGGATGAAAAAAAGAACGATGGCACAATCTGCCAATCCAGCTCTGGTGCACAAGGATATTGGCATCTGACGCCACCAGTCGTGGGCGTCAACAGTGGATAACACTGAACAGTGGGCCGATACCGAACGAAATCAGGCCCTCTCCGTCGGCTTCGTCCACGACGACGACGATGACGACGGAATTTCGCTGTGCAGTGTTTCGCAAACCCTAAACCTCACGCAGGTCCCCCGCGTTGTGTTGTCTCAAGCTTTCACACACAAACAGGAAACAGGAAGCAGAGCGACGTGAAATGTGCGTGTGCCTGAGTTGGCAAGTGAGTGGTGCAAGAAGATAGTGAGTGATGCCTGTTTTTGGATTCGGGGCGGGGTGTTGTCGATTTCGGAGCTTGTTGTAGAAGAAGAAGGAGCTTGTTGCCGGGGGGGGGGGGGGGCAGGCACTATGAGGTTCACAACAGGACCTCCTTCAGGAGCGTTACAGAATGGCTGTTACCACAATGGCGTGGAGGGGAGGTCCAGAGAAGTGGTTTCGGCATCGGGGAGCGCTGGGGCCCAATTCTCTGCCCGCGCTTCTGCAGCGAGATTGCAGGTCAGTCGCGGTGCGGGTTCGAGGGATTTGGGCTCTGTTAAGAGTGGCGGACAGGGGAGACAGGGGAGACAGGGGAGGTGTGGGAGAACGGTGGCGAGTTTGGGGTGTGATTGGCATGGTGGCGAATTATCGCAGGGCAGGGTAGAATGCATTGTTGGAGAGGGATTTGAGAGGTTGAAAGGGCTGCAATTAGGATGGAGAGAAGCGGGGAGAGGGCGTGGGAGGCGATTCCAGGTAGTGCCGCAGGCTTTGTTGCAGTGGAATAGGAGGCCTGAGCTTGTGGGGGAGATTCCTAGAGTTGTAGTGATCACGTCAGGGAAGGGAGGAGTGGGTAAAACGACCACCACTGCCAACCTCGGGATGTGTCTTGCGCGTCTGAACTTTAAAGTGGTCGCGATAGATGCAGATGTCGGGCTCCGGAATCTTGATTTGCTGCTTGGACTTGAAAATCGAGTGAACTACACGGCAATGGAGGTTCTTAATGGAGAATGTCGGCTCGATCAGGCTCTGATAAGGGACAAGAGATGGACGAATTTTGAACTTTTGTGTATCAATAAACCCCGGTACAAAATGCCTCTTGGTTTCGGAGGAAAAGCTCTCACGTGGCTAGTGGATGCCCTAAAGAAAAGACCCGAGGGACAACCTCATTTTATCTTGATTGATTGTCCGGCAGGTATCGATGCTGGTTTTATCACTGCGATCACTCCTGCCAAGGAGGCAATTCTCGTCACTACCCCTGACATCACCAGTTTGAGGGATGCGGATCGAGTGACGGGCCTTCTCGAATGTGATGGTATTAAAGACATAAAGATGGTGGTTAACAGAGTGAGAAGTGATATGATCAAGGGTGAGGACATGATGTCAGTGCTTGATGTGCAAGAAATGCTCGGTTTGCCTTTGCTGGGTGTGATACCTGAGGACTCGGAAGTCATCAAAAGTACCAACAGGGGTTACCCTTTGGTGCTGAAGAACCCGCCTACACTAGCGGGTCTGGCATTGGAGCAGATGGCTTGGAGATTAGTGGAAAAGGACAGCATGAAAGCAATCTTAATTGAAGAAGCCCCTCAGAAACGTAGTCTTTTTCCTTTCATGGGTGGCAAGAATTGATAATTTCAAGTTTTAAAGTGTTGCACCGGTTTCTATGAGTTCCAGAGCAGGTACATTGCTTATTGTAGAATTGTATACTTCATATGCTTCCAGAGTAAGGGTTTTTTCCGATCTTTCCAACTTTGAAATGGTGGTCAAATGCAGATTCTTGACGAGGAGGCTAGGGTTGCCTTTTTGGACAATCTGACCTAGTTTTAAATGTGCTAATTTATAATCTGCTGTGTCCATTCAGTGTGTCGTTTTTCAGGTTGAATCCTTTAAAGTGTCAATTTTTTGGGGTGTTTTTTTTTTTTTTTTTTTTTTTTTTTCATGATTAAATGTTGTATCAGTTTTGCGTCCACTCCCTGTAAAAGAGCGTTCTTTATGCGTAATACTTCCGGATCTTGTTTTAAACAATATCGAGGCTCCCCAATTATCCAATGGTAATTTAATCGTGCCCTACAACGGCAGGATAATACAATTCCTTACACCCTACTTGAGCTCAGGATAGAGAGAAGCAAACTGCATATATGGTCCATCTGGATCTCTGTGGCTGTATTATTCACGATGCTTTCCAGAAAAAAAAATCTGAACCTCGAAACAGTAACTGCCAGAACGACCAGCTCTCTCTGTAAGTATCATAGTGACGATCTCGCTGGATTTTTTTTTAATCAATGTGCATAATTTGCGCAGTTGCGGTGAACATAAACGGCAGCCCTGTTGCACGGTTGGTGGTGAGAACAGTCAAGCGAGGCTGAATAAAAAGACCTCTGCAGCACGCAATTCTTTTGTAGGATTTATGCTATGTGTAGCATGGCTCCCATGCAGGCATTTGCAGTTAGTTCAAAAGTGGGTGATTCTTCCGCCTAGACGCTGATCCATGTCATAGTGTACTTAGCATGGTTGAAGAAAACGTCAGGGATATGCCGATGTTGCACTCACACACGTACCTAGAATTTCTCGCCAGATCATTCTAGTGTACCTTAGAGTGACATAATTACGTATTGACCTGTGCTAATCAAGCTTAAGAATCGGTTATGAGCAGAAGTACTTAAATTCAGTTGTATTAGGGATCAAGCGCACCTTTGCTGTCGCAGTCTGTCAGATATCGATTCGCTCGTTTACGTGGGAGGTCCGGCCATGCATTCACGAGAATTGCCAGCGTTTCAGCTGGAGAGTGTACTCCTGCTTTGCCTTCACGAGCATGATCGCTCTTTTTTGACTTCCTTCCAACCAGGTCTTGCTCAGCAGATGGTAGATCACTTCACAACAGCCTCTCGAAGACAACTGATCATCTCCAGCCAAGTTGAGACCAAGTTTTAAGCACGAGTATAAATTCTCTGTGAACCTTCATACTAGTCATTCCTGGACTGCTTCCAGCTGATGTTCGTGGACAATCTACGCTAATCAGTTCCGATTCACCACTTCGAGGTGGCCAAATGGGGGTCAAAGTAAACTGTTCTGCTCGGGAGCAAGGGATGATGCCATCCGGGACGCACTGCCTCTCTGTCACCATTGACATGACGAAGTCCAAAGCCGCGATGGTGTGCATCATACTCTTGGCGTTTCTGGCTCTTTCAGTTGTTTGTAAAGTCTCCGCACACCAATTAGACGATGCCTCTGATGGAGCTGTGCTGGAGGAGGTGGCGGAGGTAGCCCCAGCTGCGACGCGCAATCGAGTCCATGTCATTCGATTCAGTTCGGGAAGCCGTTTCGCAAGGGCGATCCAAACGGGTGAGAATTGATTATCACCCTGTAAATTAAAGACTTCAGCGTAAATGAATTCACTCGAGCTCAGAGTACATTGGCGGAGGATGTCTGCTCATCTTTCATGTAGATAAGTGAAGTGAATGCATGAATGCTGGCGATTCGGAACCTAAATCGCAGGCGACATGAAAGTATGAGTGCCCTCGTCACGAAGTACTAATAACTCTTCGAAAACCACCATTCACCACTCTTGGAATATTACCCATCACTCTCGAATGGTTGGTCTCATGCGTTTCATGGCGCTGTCTGTTTGTTTGTGTGTGATTGATGATGGTTCAGAAAACGGTGAGGAGAAAATTAGCAAGGCGAGCGTCAGAAAGGTCTTACCTGGAGGCATCCTTGCGCGGCGCCTGCGAGCCCTCTCGGATGCAGATTGTAACGCTGTCGCAGTGGCAACCAGCTTCAGATGGGCTGTTCACCACCCAATGGGGTCATCCGACGGCTCTGCAATGCGTCAGAAAAAATCACGGCTCATATTACGACCCATCAAACTCTTCATTCTCTGCAAAAAGGTCAAGAACGCGAGAATCGGTGACGTTGCAGCGTTGTCTCCCAAGCGAGCAGCTCCAGCAAACCAGCACATCATTCCCATTGAGAACAAACATAGGCGGTCATTGAAGGAATTCAAGTCCAACTTCTTCCTCAAGCGAGCAGCTCCAGCAACCCCAGCTTCAACCTCTGCGAACTCTCAGTTTTCCTTTCCACCCTTTCCAACATCATTCCCTCCTTTCCCACCTCTCTCAACTGCAGGTTTCCCTCCTCTGCCATTCACTCTTCCTGCTCCGCCTCTTTTTCCAACACAGCCTTCGACTGCCACATTACCTCCAGTTCTGTCAAGGCCATCCGACCTGCCGACACCCTTGTTAACACCTTTGCCACCAATCCCTTTTACCAACTTTATCCCCCCCTTACCATTCCAAATCCCACCGGTGTCGCGAGTGCCATCTTCCAGCTCGGTAAAAACTCTGCCACGGACCCCATGAACATCGCAGCAGACCAATGAAGATGACTAGTATAGATTGCTGAGCTTTCAGAGTATTTCTCTTGTGTTAATACAATTTGATTCACATGTTTTAAGATTTCCATCCCGTTCAACATGCTCCTGATCAAGGGACTGGAAGTGCTGCATTTCCAGTACCCACTTGTTTTAATCTTGTCGTCTGCATTCATCTCTGAAGTGTGTATATAGAGTTCAGTATTTATATGAAGACAGTTCTAGAAGCCTTTAAATTCACCAGCATTCATGTTGATATTCATCAGTAGTCTGCAGATTTAAGTTTGGAACGAACGAAAAGGTACAATGTTAGCATTGTTGAAGTGATGTCCTGGACCAAAACTGAAACACGCCCATTGTAGTGAGAGTCCTCGCTTTTCAGCATGATTTGTGAAGAACAGTACGTTGGTTCGACTGCTGCACGGTCGGAGCACTCAACAATTTCAAAAGATCTGTCAGAAGTGGAATGCTAGGCAACGCTTTAGAAAAGTGTTACTACAGTTTTGTCGTCGTGACAAAAAATAACACAAGAACCTGAATCAAGATCTATTAAAATTCTAAATAAATTATTGGCCTAAAATTTGCGCCTACATCAAAAATGAAACCTTGGACACCATTATTGATTTAGGCGCATATTTTAGGCCAATAATTTACGGATTTTAGATTAAAATTAGATAAAAATAAAAATAAAGTAAACCACTTACATCTCAACTGTTGACATTCACGAAAGTTTTCATGAAAGTTTATTTTACTTTTGTTATTATTTTCATGGAAAGAAGATGTACAAAGAAATCTACGGTTTAAATTGGTGCATGCAACCAGGGGTTGATTGGAAATACAAGACACCACTTTAGAGCCCAAAATCAGTATGAGATATTCCATTCCAAACAAAATCCCTTCAAACTTAAGCCAAGGACTAAGTAGAAAACCTGCATCCACAATGGGCATATTAGAATGCAGAAAAGTCATGCTTACTAGAATCTGAAGACGAGGTCTGTACACTAGAACAGGGTAACGATTCGAAAAATCCAAAATTACTTGCATAATTCAACTAACAATCTGCATCGTGATGACGTGAAACTTCTTAAATTGATGTAGGTCAATGTTCACATAACTAGTGACCTAAAACAGAGAGGTATTTACAAGCTCAACGGCCATTAGAGCTCGCTATCTTCGAATGACTACACAAGATCTCCATGCGCACTTGTCAAAACATTTAGAATGAAACTATCACTGTCGATGTGTACGAAGCTAAATGCTACTCTAAACTAGTTGATTAACTTCAGATTCAAATCCAAGCAGGAATTTGCAGCCTCCGAAAGAGCAGCAAAAGCAGTGTCTTAGACTAACTAATCTCGTTTGTCTTCTTCTAAATCATCATCCAAACTAAATACATCAGTATTGATAGGCTTCCGCTCTATCGCATCAGGTTTGACCCCGCTTTTCTCAACCTCAAGGACCAAGGCTGGTTTACTTGATGATGTAAGTGCAATCTCCTCTTCATCCAAATCCTCCCCAACTTCTTCAGAGTAGGCATATCGTGTTGAGTTTTGGGATGGGGCCCACAAAATACAGATCACGACGAGGATAATGAATGCAAGCACGTACCAAAAGGCCGGAATGATCCAAAAGCTCTGCCACCGCTCACCAAAGGGATCAGTTGCTTTGAAGTACAACTCGTAGCCTATCCATGCCACAGAAACTACAACCGCCATTGCAAGAGAGTTCGTAAACTTCCTGTAAAGCTCAAGCTTGGCAAACCTTCTTCGAGCCTGCAACTTCTCCAGAGTTCGTGACAAAGAGGTGAATATCCACAAGATGAAAAACGCATCAAGCATTGCAACCGGCAAGACCAAAAACAGTCTTTCTTTTCCAGGGGGGTCATTGATTGTATTAACATTCTCAACCACGTCCAAGGACTCCGCGGCTAAAAAGTAAGTTCCTCCCAGAAGGAGAACCTTTGAGGTAAGTCCACCAAGAGTGGGGCGCACCACACCAAATCCCATGGACACAACCAGAATCAATAGCCTCGACACAGTTTTCTTCACGGCCCCTACCGTGACGGCCCACATTGTGATTCCCATTGGCCTGTGTCCGGTCATGTTGAAATTGAGGTACTCAAAGTACCAAAGAGCCATCTCAGACATGCCCAAACCAATCACGGCACTGATGCAGTTTTGAAGCTGGAGTATATCCTTCCAATTTCTCATGTACTGGAAAAACCAGAGCACGCCCAAGAACCCGTAGGCAAGAGCCATAAACGCATAAAACGTCATGAAAGGCGCCATTCGCCCAGGCAAATAACCCGTAGGATTCTTCCACACAGTGTGCCCTTCCACAGTCAGCCCTTCCAATTCCCGTTCACATGCAACAAAAATTAGCGTGTACATGCCTGTTTTCGAGATGTTCACTTTCATATTCAAGACAGCTTGCAAACTCTGACCTGTAAAGTGAGTCGGAATCGAGTAAGGCGAGCCATTACTATCGTGGTCCATTATGACGCTACCTTCCCTACATCCCGTAGTTTTAGCAAGGTCTCCGGAGCAACATAGAGCCAATCTTCCAGGGAAAGAATGGTCGCCAATTTTGTTTTTGTCCTTAACCTCCACTATAATAGCTTCAACCTGAGAATTGGTAGTTCCCGCTTCATGCTTTAATGCAGCTTCCTCGGTTCGGGTAAAGGTGATGGACTCAAACGAGATAAATGATATGCCGTTGGCAACACCCTTCCCCTTCACGTGATCAGATGAGGCATAGAGTCCTTCATTTCCACCCCAGTAGATGAATGCATTACTCTCTCCCACAAATTTTCCATCCTTGTATATGTGAATTGATGCTTCCACTTGCAGGGCTACTAACAGAAATCCCAAAATTATCAACCACGTTGGCGTGCACCGAACCCCCTTCATTATGGATCCCATAAAAATAAAAATCTGCACAAGTCAAAGCACACATCAAGAACTCATTTTTGTCTACAGCTAATGTCATCTCAGAATAAAATAAGCCTTGAAAACTATGTCCTGTACGCACGAACAGATACGCTTCGTATACAAAGTCTCCAAATTATGACCCAATGTGAACCCTTCGAATTCGGAGCTAGAACAGACAATTATGAACCAGTGACCGTACGTGATTGATATTCCATGTTCATAACTGTACCTTGCGCATGAAAGAAAGGAGTGGAAATAGCAAGTGGTATTCACACAAAGGTAGCCAGGCTACAGCGATCTGAGTGTGTCCGGTCTATTTATAATAAACTAATTAAAACAAAAATAATCGAATGCACATAACTCGCTACCCACTACCCTGCTCGCTCTTACTCTCTCGACAAATTATTTCATCCTACGTTCATTTGCTGCATTGCCAGCTACTCACGCCCATTTGCACATGTGTAACTTTGCATCTGCTATCTACAGCTCGACCTGCAAGTCCCAATGTCATGACTGAGTTTATCTCACAATATTCCTTTTTATTTTTGAGATAGCTATATCATTGCATACTATAAACAAAATAGTTCCTCGAAAGGAACCTAAAACGAGGCTCTGTGCTGACGTGTACAGTTGTAATTTCGGTGATCACAATCACGACACTCAGAGAACAAGTGTCGGCAGGCCATTTTTCCTCCTAATAACCCTGATAACACTGAAAAGAAAAGCACGCCTCTCAATCAACTGAAAACCAAAAACCAAAGCATGGGCTAAACCTTCACAAAAAAAGTGCACGTCAGAAGCCTCGCAGTGCTAGATCAGAAATGCGGCACCCAGACCACCAGCTCCATACCTCTCAAATACGAACACCGCGAGAAACCATCTCTCTACCCACACCAACACATCCTGGAGAAAGAAACACATATTGCGTCTGTAACTTGCTCCTCCGCACACTCGGATCCACCTTGGGAGGAAAAACAAACATTATACTCATACTCATTCCTAACCCAAACGAGCGTCAATTTAATAACCTATTTGAAATCTATTGCTGCAACTCGCAACCACAACCAAAAATATGCTACCAAGATGACTCCACAAGCAGGGTCGAGAGTCTCCCAAGGTCGAAAGCCGGACAAAAAGCTCCCTCAGTAAAATCACCCTGTCAGAAACCACTTCAAGATCTAGCTCAAGCCTCTCAGCGAAGCTCAGAAAAACTGTCCTAATACTCAAACAATCTTCTAAGCCAATTGACCATCTTGGCAAAGCTACAGATCTCACATAAACTAGGGCGCAAACGACTGCTCCCACTCCCACCATGCACCGTATTTAGACTTCCAACGTCCCGGGATCAATGCAGCTGCGCCGAATATCATCTGAACACGACTGCAGGTACCCTGATCTACACCCCAGGCACGCTCACGACACCATCCACCCCTCGCAAACCACAAAACCCAGCAACAACTCCAACCAACCTCATCGACTCACCCCGTCCAAAAACTTCAAAACGGCACTAATTCCGGCTCCACTTGGCTCCACTTGGCTCCCAAGAACTCACAGATGCGAGACGGAGTGCATGGGGAGACGTCTCATCACTCCGAATTCCTGAGCCTACATCCCAGAACCAATCTCCGATGCGAGGAAAGTGGCTCCTACAAGACCCGCACTCTCTCCTTCAAGCCCTAGCGCTCTACACAATACACGACTCTACCGCCTCTTCCGGTGTACCGCCTACCTTTTGCCTTTTTCACTCCCCAGAGGTGCTTCTCCTTTTAATTTAAAGTTTTCTGTTATTTACGGTAACCTTATCGAATGTTCCAAGATGCATGCCTATGGTGTTCCCACGTTCTGTTCTCATGCGTTCTCTTTTCAAGTCAACGCTACCATGTTCACGAGGCCGATCTGGTGAATACTCTCCATTCGTTTATATCGGTAGACCTACTGATGCTATTAATAAACCCAGTGGCGTTATTTTAGTTTCTGAGATGCTTCCGAAGCTTGTTGTTACCACAAAGATCCAAAAGTAAAGCTCAGTGAGTGTTTTCTTTAATTTTATTTTATTCATATTTACAATCATGTGTCGTTTCTACATGTTTGATTTTTTTTTTTTTTTTTTTTTTTTTTTAATGTGGTAGTAATCAAACAGTTTCTTGAGACTTCTTTTGGTCGTACTAAACCTTAGTTGCCTGTATATTGAATATTATATATATATATATATATATATGTAGAGAGAGAGAGAGAGAGAGAGGAATGTTAAATAGACCTAAGTTTTTACTAAATAAATCCACCTATTCTAACCATCATCAAATAAAAATAATGGCTTCTAGATTCATTTCCTCACTATTGAATCTGAAATCAATAAAAACCAATCACATTCATAGTGATCACCATGTTCTTCATGAAAGGTGGGTCTATTTTGTAAAAGTATGGGTCTATTTAACATACCCCTATATATATATATATATATATATATAAGAAGAAAAATGTGATTATAGTTACTAACACCAATATACTTATTAAAATCGTGATAACATTCTAATTCTAATGAAGAGCTTGACTACTTGGTTTATTAAAAAACTAGTATTCAGTTTTTTCAATAATTTATGCATAATTTTTTGATTCAATTGCTTTTGATGGCTGAAATTGTTGTAACCAAACTTTGGGGAATAATCAGTATGAGACCAAGTAAGACAATTGTGAAAAACGAAAAAAAAAATTAATATTTTAGTGGAACTTAAAATCACAAAACGATAATGATAATAGTAACAATAACTAACAAAGGTATAAAATATTTTATATTGTCAACTAATTCTGACTTGAATTCAAAGAAGTGTCTCTCATTGCTAACAAAACAGGTTTTTAGGTTAGATCTTTAGGTTAGTTTAACAGTTCCAACATGAATAATTTTTATTTTCTGAAAATATTAGATTTTATATTTCTGAAAGAAGAAAAACCTTGGAGAGTGAAGAGTAGAAGCAGTTGAGATTTTTAAAGAAATAGGATTCTTTTAAGAATGCTCTTTCTTACTAATCTTGTGACTGACAATTCTCATGTAGGATTGCATATCGAATCCGAACTCGTAGACAGGCACCCCGCCGTCTCAAGTGACCGTCATTAAGAAAAATTGGATCAATTTGATTGCCTGCTAGTGCTTGGGTTACATGTTCACAAGTTCAAAGTCTGTTTTTCTTCAACGAGACCGAAATGAGTTTGAAACTGTACTGCCGAGGCAGCACTATCCCTGGATCGTCCACAAAGCTAACCCACGCAGTAGTTTGCAAATCCTACTTACCTTTTTACTCAAAGGATTCAAGCTTCTCAATGAATAACATCGTATGGCAAAAGAGGTGGCATTTTATTGATTACTTCTTCCGGTCAATTTACATGCCTTTAATTCTAGTTGCTGTGGTGCAGCACACTAGATGTATTTTTGAATGCATGGGGACATATCAGCTTACCTACTCAAGAAACATTATCTGTCGAAGAACCCACTCTGGTAAAAGTACAAACTATGCGAGGCAACTCTGATGCAATTCACTGCATCAAAATCACAGACGACAAAAATGCCAAATAGATATGGTTGCGACTCGATAAGATGTGCTGGGTGTAGACCCTCTTTACTCCATCTAGCAGCCTGCTCTGGAGGTGAACCATATTTCTACAGAGAAAGTTTCAGATTAAAGCAGTTTCTCCACTTGTATACCAATCTGCCTTCTTTTAATATATCACGTCATCCTACCAGTCTGTTTCTAGCAGCGTCTGACAGATAAACAAGGTGCTTCACTAACAAGAAGAGATGTTTCAACCACATACACCTAAGCGCAGAAACAGTCCCCAGAGGGGTTAATCCCACTGGCATAGTTCCACAACCTCAAAAAGAATCAGATTGAGGGTGAGTAAAAAAAATAAAAGAAAAAACGAAACAAAAAAGGACTTCACACCATTTCCAAAATCTTGATATTGCCCATGGAGTTCGCAGCCACAAGAGTTTGCGACTTCCCCCTCCAGCAAACGCTCGAAACGAATTGCCCTCCATCTTCTTCAACCTCCCGGCCTGTGATTGGATCTGTGCACCCAAATTTGTGGGATGCCATTTCCATAGGAAGGGATTTATGATACGCAAACACCTGAAAAAATAAGATTCACAAATCATGTTTTTTCACGACTTGCTAAGGAAACCCAAAAACATTCCTGCAGTACTGGAGTTGATATACGAAGAATGTGGGTTAAAGCCGAAACACTTTCTAGTAGACAGCTTATATGCATTTTAGGTAGGAAACGAATGAAACGAAGACATAACGGGAGCAATAACAACTTTCACAACTTTGACATGTTAATAACGTGGCAAGAACACTAACCGCATTTGTTTCTGATCCACAAGCAATATAACCGTCTGCAATAGATAGACCAATAAAATTCTGCAGATCAAGACACACACATTCATTCAGTTACAAAGTGCATGCACAACAGAGCACAACCAGTCAATAAAAAGACATGGCAGAAAAACAAGAAGTGAGATCGATTCCAAACAATCGAACCATGTGAGTTCCAATCAACAAACTTCCAACAGAAGCGTAAATCAAATAAAGATGCCCCTACCTTTTCATTAGTATGTCCAGTATACGTGAGCGAACAACCAGTCTGGGCATGAGGGGTTGTATTTGCTCTCGTCAGGTCCCATAGCTTGAGTGTGTTGTCTGTAGATGCAGAAACTAGGGTAACCGAATCCACGAACTTCACATAGCTCACAGCCTTCTGGTGACTGGCTAAAATACATAAGGGCAGTTTGGTGGTACGCAAATCATAAACATAAACCTTGTAGTCAGCTGATCCAAACGTCAAAAGATGCCCCGAGTCTGGTGGAAACTGGACACAGCACACGTTGGCCTTGGTCTTAATCGTACCTATGCTGCTCTCCTGCATTCATAGACCAATGCGACGTGATAGAGTAATCGATATATGACAAACCAAATCCGGCCGATAGAAAACTAATAGCTAGTTGGAAAATGTGAACTCTATGAAAATGCAAACTAAACGAAACTTAGAATGAACTACCAAAGTAACGAAAGATCTCTAGACCTATTTCAGGATAATACAATCCTAAGAAATATAATATTGTGACCACGGTGAGCTAAAATGAAGATACCTGATTAATGCTCCACAATTTCACAGTTCCATCATCGCTACCACTGGCCAACTTTGTTGGGTCAGCCTTTGAAAAATCTACAGACCAGGCTCTTTTCTCATGCTCCTCATAATCCCTCAGAACTCGAGGCACATTGGCATCCCACAACTGAGTCACGAGTACTCCCGATTAGAAACATATTTTCCTCATCTAACTGTAGGAATATTATATCAAACGAAAAAATTTCAAAAGAATCATGTAAGGTATCAAGGATTTCCATTGAATAAAGAACATTGATGTTTGTCCTACACATCTGCCAACCCCAGCTGACATAGTAATATGCCACACAAAACAGTGTCAACTTCTTGTTCCTACCAAAGAGAAGGCTTCCAAGTAAGAAAAGCCCACCTGAACCACACCCTCATAGTCACAAGAGGCTAGGTGGCTCTTTATATAACCATTCCAGCAAACACTGCTCAACTTGGATCGACATGGCATTTCGACAACAGGATAGTGAATATCTACATGCTCGTTGAGTATTGTGTCACATTCAAAAACTTTGATACGTTTACACACCCCAGCAGTTGCAAAATATTCTTCATCCCGATCAAAACTTAATGAGCAAACCATGTTCGCTGTGTTCAATAAATCCCCATGACGCAAAGTGGCCTTCACTTCAAATCGGCTGTACCGTGCATACTTGCACAAACTATCAAAGAAACAGCCCAACCAATCTTCCTCATTGTCCTCTCCTGCTCTTGAGATTCCCTTCTTGTCGTCATTCGAGGCACAACCAATACTCAGACTTTGCGCCCCTAGCCTTGAACTTGGCTTAGACATACCCATTCCAGGCGCACCAGCTCTCCAGTTCATAGAGAAGTAAACTTTTTCTAGATGATTGAAGTTACTCATAAATCTAGCACTTTTCGATAACATTTTACCTCTCCCATCTGTACAAGCAATCCCTTTTTCTCTACCTCCAATCCCGTCTTCTGGGTGCGGTCTCTTTCCCAAAATCCCCTTTCGTTCTTGCAAGTTGACACCTGTGATCCGTCTCTGCCCACTATTCTCTCCTTTAGTTATCGGACCACGCTTTTTCTTCAATGCAAGCCGCCTTCTTTCAACTTCTTGGATGTCTGCACTCAATCGTGACACATCTTGTGCCAGCTTCCGAGCATTCTCTTGCTTCTGATTCTGCATTCTTAACAAAAACTCTAAAAGTACTTCTGACTCGGCTTCCTTCTCTTCCAATTGCACAGCTGCTTGCCTCTCAGCTATTGCGTCCCCAGCTTCAGACAAGATCTCACAATTATAAATATCCCTGTACGCAGATTAAAGATTTTTAATTATTTGTTCCACATTCAAGTTCAAACTCTAAAAACAAAAACAAAAACAAAAAATAACGAGAGAATGGGCGCGCGCGCGCGCGCGAGAGAGAGAGAGAGAGAGAGAGATAAGAAAGTGAATTTCACGCTCAGTGTGTCTAGGGAATTTTATTCGCATTCAGCCGAATAAAACTTCGCCATTAATGGTAATCAAATGTTGCCCGATATGGAAGCAAACGAGACCAAGTTAAAGTACTGGGCATTTGGAGCATTTTGAATTATATCGTGAAAACAAATATCACTAACAATCTTCATTGAACGCATCAGCGGAAACATATTGGGAAGAGCAACTAGAAGTTATTTTGGATGTTTCAATACGAGTAAAATATATATGTAAAAAATGTTAGGCCCGAGATTTTCAACTCTGTAACCAATAGCCAGAGGAAGAAAAGGTTTATATTTCTAAAATTCCAATAATTTATGACTGTTTTTATGCTAAAACTCACCTAGATTTTGGCCTGCAAGCTGGATCTGGGTGCAGCAACCAAAGGCAAAAGGACGCTTCCTTAGGACACTCCGACAACAGGCGTGGTGGAAGAATACGATTCCGCAAATCAGCCATAACTCTTGCACGCTCCACCTCTGACCCAAATGAGCAGAATAACTGGGAGCAAACGGAATCCAGAATGCCCAACATCAATCAGATTGTCATGATCACAGAATTCATGATGTACATTGGCAACAAGATCAATAAAGATTGTTGAGAGACTAACATCCGAGTGCCAACTCCACATCAATATTCTCGAGACGACATACGAAAGTTTACTTTCACGTCGACTGTCTCATTTGGCATTAACAATTCGTGTATCACTGATTGCTGCATTCATTTGACGTACTAGCGTACCAAGATCCACTAACATCCCAGCCGACTTCTACCGAAGACATATTTGAAATAGAACTTTAAAAGATTTATAGATGGGATCAAAATATTTCATAACCTGCTGAAGATGGCCAGATAGAAGTACCTCAAACATAAGCACCCCTAAACTGTAAATATCAGAGGCATATGTGCTCGTGCCAGTTGCATGCTCCTCTGGGCTAGTATACCATGCCTGCTCCATGTGCAACAACTGCCTTTGTGGAAAGCAGTCTTCGCCATTTCGCAGCGCCCCGTCACTACTATTCAAATCCACACGTTTACCAGACGAGGAATTCATTTCAGAGGATTGTACACCATCTCTGGATCCTGCTCTTCTCTCCCCTTCTGATCCTGTACTTCCACTCCAATCCGGCAACCATGGACAAGACACGGCCTGCTCTGGTCTTCGGTTGTCTGGATCTCGGCTGCTGGATGTAGGCCTCGATGATACTGTTCCAGCTGGGGGATGAGCCGAGGACTCCGCCTGTCTTCTCCCCGCGCCAACGTCACCATGTCTTCTTTCAGGAGACGCTGACCCCTTACCGGTAGAATTCTCATAGGATTGGTCTGAGCTGCTTCGAGTACTGGCAGAATCAATGAATGCAACCCTATTTAAGGGAGACAAAAGGAAGCAGGACGGGCGAATGTTTCGCAACATAACGCCTTGGCCATGGGCGAGGTCTACAAAATCTAGCACCTGCTTGAATATGTGAAGACTCTGCACCCTGTCTACTTCACGATTGGGCTTGCTAAGCCACTGCCTTACCGTGATCTCCTCCCCATACACTCCCTCGCTCCCCTCGGAGTCTACATCGTCAGAGGTCAGAGGTACCCGTTCCTGCGTTGCTTTCGCTAGCGAGCGACCCTGTGCAGATGAGGCCTCCGTAACGCCTCCAGATTCTCTGCCTGGTAACTCCTTCATTGCACTGGCTCTACCGACCCCACTACCATTCTCTTCCGACTCGAGTTACCATCCAGCGTACCTTGACATCATCCGAGGCTCCTCCGCCCGAAACCCTAACGCTTTTCCCAATCGCCGAAATTTTAACTTTGCACCCCCAAGGAGCACTCTAGATCACTTAAATATAATAAACACTTCCTCACATAATTCCCGAGTTGCGCAGGACAGACAACATACCATCAGCGGCAAACGACAACCTCCTCGAGTCCATCCTCGTGCATGTAAGATGTCCATGGCCACCTGTCCAAACTGTTTCTCCACACTCTACAACACATCATTCCCTGAACACAGCCCAGTCCCGCCCTAGTCCACCCCGCCACTCACCATTCACCCCCTTTCTCCCAACACCAAACCCGCCACCACCACCACCACCCCGGCGGGGTATTGCTCCAACCACCCTTCCGCCTCCTCCTCACTGCCACACTCCGCAATCCGCCTCTACACAGTCGCCGATTCCAACGTCCGCCATGGCCTCACCTGGATTCCTGTCTCCGCCACACCCCCGTTTCTTATCGCCCTCGGTTCACCATCATCCCAGCTCCCTCGCACACGCCCATGCCCTCCTCCCTCACCTTCCCCACGACTCCATTGCGCCAGCCAGCTCGAGGGAAAAAAAGAAAGTCAAGGGATACGGAATAGAAAACCCCAATTGTGATTGCTCCAATTGCGACTAACTCTCACGAACACGACTCGGCGATGGAAGCGCTACCGTCATTTCTGAGAACGATCAGCTAAGTCTAGCGCAGTGATGAAACCGTAGAAAAGGCTGATGGACTAGTGTCCACACAAAAGGAAAATAAAGTGGGCTAGGGCATTCCGCGACGTAACAGCCCGCCTCACCCTCCCTTCCCCTCCCCTCCCTCCTTCCTCACGTCCTCACGTTCATTCTGTGTTACACCCCACCCCACCCGCTCCCCACCGGACCCGCTCCCGACCCTCGCCCTTGCCTTTCTCCGTCCACCTCCACTTGTGTCCACAGTTAACTCTGCCGGCCAGCCACTTCCATGTCTGCCCATCCGCCCACCCTCGATCGCTCGTCACCGGCCGGGCGGGATCCGCGTCCCGGTCGTCGATTCGGCCCCCGGCCCGTCGTCGGATCCTTGTCCTAGCCAACTTGGGCCCTGTTGGTTGGGTGGCCAACAAGTGTTGGACACATGTGACTAGGATTCTCTCTCGTTCAAATGGATGAATGAATGATAATTTCGTGGATGGAAAAGTCTGTACATCGTTACCTTGCCACGTCACTGGGAGCTGCAGCTGGTTGGCCGTAGCCTTAAGCATTCTCAACAATCCTGTGTTGTATTTCTACGTAGCTGTTTCACACTTGCTCAAATGTGCACAGGGAGATACAAAACTGAAATTGTATATATTGCGTAGTGTATATGTACAGAGGGAAAGTGAGTATTTCAATGAAATAATAAAATATTTGAACCATGACATAGTGATGACTAAATATGGCACTACATTTATACAATCCTGATTTTTTCTTTTTTTCTTTTCTTTTCTGAAACTTATTTACAAGTTGGTTTTTATTTTTCTTTATGCAAAATTTTCCCCAGAAACAAACCAACACCAATGACCATGTCATATAGCAAATGGAATTTGATGAAACCTGTGAATAACATTAGCATTTTATTTTATCAGGGTTATTCTCAATTTTATGAATATATATATATATATATATATAAAGAGAGATAGATAGATAGATAGATAGATAGATATCAGGAAATGATAAAGCAACCGAATTTTTTACTAAATTGACCCACATGCCCTGTTCCCAATGCCTTGCTCCCATCCTTGACAATGGTTGGGAATGGAGAATGGCTGGGAACAGGGATGGGGGCTCCAATCCCTGTTTAAGACAATCATAAGCAATGATGCTTAAGATAGAGTGGGTTGCTTCAATAAAAATTTGAATCACTTTATCATTCTCCTATACATATATGCTTCAAATCACCTTTGGGATGCACTAGAATTCAACTAAATTTCACATTTTGTTGTGGTAATCATACTAATTACAACTTTAAACAAAAGTAAGTTCATTTGCATCTTTGGCTGGAATGGTGATGTACTTGTAGCTATTACTACAAAAACAGATCCTCCTAACAATGAGAATCATATCATAATTCTTTTGCAAATAGTTGTTGTAGGTTATGACATTGATACACTTGTTATTATCACATTTTCATGCCCTGAACCTCAACATTTTAAAATCAATTAAATTGAATTGTAACATCACTACTCAGGCTTATAATTGCGCTGAAAATGTATAAATTGGTATCCTACAAAATGGATTTCAATAATAATAAGAAGAAGATACCATGTGATTTTGGTGGATTACATGTATATTGAAAACCATAGTAGTGTTTCATCAAAATTGTTCCACTCCTAAATTGGTCTTATTGTCTATACAATTTCAACTTCAGATTAACATGAGTAAGTTTTAAATTCTTAGTTACAAACTATCACTTATTTATATATAAATTAATTGATAAGGAAAAGAAATACATTAAGAAGAACATACATGAGTGCTCTAGTTGAAGTATGGATTTTAAATAGTAATTCTCACATAAATCACTAACTTGTTTGCATGAGCATGATACAATCACACAAAAAATTAAGTCAAACATTTATTTCAATACAAAAGATAAATAAATCATAAAACTTGGATTGTGAAATTAGAATATTATAACTTTCTAATGATGTTCATCCACATGTTAAAGCAATAAACTCAATGTTTGTACATATAAATATTCTGAATTTACTATAAGATTATGATTGATAAAAAACTTCACTATTATTGATAATTTTGTACAATTTAATAAAATAACAAAGCTCTATGTATAGTGAATCATTATGTGGTGTGATATGCATCTTGCAATGATAATATATTAGCAAAAGAGTTTTTTCTGTACAAAGTGTGTTTGATTAACATTCATGTAAGTCACATCTGTCTTTATTTTAATTACATCTTTTATGCTCAAGTTACATATTGTTTTATATTTTTAGAATCATTGATGTGCATGTATAACCAAATACAGAAAGAAGTCTTCAAGGATAACCTTTTTCAACAATCACTATAAAGTCATGAATCATAACTTTAATAACATGATATATTTCTTGCGAATGTAGATTAGTTTTTGATAAATTCATGAATTTTATGCATACAAGGCTGAAAACTATTATTCAATCTTGAAAATACTATAGTTTAAAGTAAAGCATAGATAAATACAGAATGTAAATTTTAATTTTTACTTTTATTTTATTCCATTGATAAACTTTTGTTGTTTTAAAGATTGGTTTGTTTTAAAAAGTTCTAATTCAAGGATTTGATCAACAAATTATTAGGCAAAATTCCAGTAAAATTTTTTAGTTTATTTTGGATGCTACATTATTCATAAAACATACTAAAAAATATATAATATGAGTTATACGAGATTATTATATTTTTATTAAGTATTTTAATTACTAAATTAACTAAGTTAATTGTACAAAACATCACTCTTTTGTTTTTTCTTTAAATTATTGAACATAAATTTTAATATATTGTGACTAGATTACCTGCTTAAGTTTTGTTAAGGATAATTTATAATTCAGTGAGATGATTACAGAGAGCTCCGTTACTTATAACTTGATTCTTATTAATAATTTCTGTGTGGGAATTAAATGAAGTCATAATTGAATTCATGACATTAAATGAAGCAACATAAAATGTTATGATATCGAAGTAATTAAATTATTAATGATTTTATAATGGAATATTGTAACTAGAATTTTAACTATATTATTAGTAACTCTTTATACTTATAAGAAAACATGTTAGTCATGCTAATAGAAGTTGTTAAATTTTAAAATAAAAACTAAGAATTCGAAATTTTTTTAAAAAAAAAACACATACACACATCTAGTTCCTATGTGTATGAATGACACTTATTACTATAGTCACTTCATTCCCCTGCTATATTGAATAAACAGAATAAAAATTTTAAACTTAAATAGTGATAGTAAGTGCAATAAAGATATTATTTTTGAAGATGTTATAAGATTATATATATATATATATATATGCATACTTTCATGTCAACATATCTTATTCGCTTATTTATCTTCATTTCAATTTTATGTTTTGGAATAAAACCATCTAAGTTTTGTAGTAACAGACATGGACGCAATCATTTTTGGATTTAACTTTTAAAAACCAATGTCAAATAAATAAATAAATTCATTTACAGTTGCTTATTATCATAACATCCCAGAATGTTTTTAACATTTTCACAACCCAACATGACATACTTGGCAAAGATAAAAAAAAGAAAAAAAAGAAAAAAAAAAAAATAGCATGAAAATCATAACTGTTGAAAATATTTAGAAAGACATAAGAGTAGTAGTAAGTAATACACACTTATACACAAGAAAGTTTCTAAGGAGAGAGATAGAGCTTCACCCAAAAATCTATTGATCTAGTTATGTCTCGTATACAAGAAGACAAGGGGAGAGGATAAACAGTTCCTCTCCACTACATTCCCAATATTGTAGCTATAGTATTTACTACAAGCTACAGTAAATATTATGGAGAGCGTCGACTATATTTAATACTCTCAACACTCCTCCTTGCTCATCATAATATTTACACAATATAAAATTTGTACAGAATTATGATCTATATTTTTATATAATCTCACAAAATCAATAATTGTTGCCTCATTAAAACCTTATCTAAGAAAACCTTATTCTATTTAAAGAAAAAATCATAGATGAAGGAAAAAGAGTACAATATCATTTTCCTTAATTATTTAAAGAGCTCATTAACTTAAGAAAAGCAAGTTGCCACATAACAATGCTATAAATAAGTCGACAATGGTTGTACAATGGGAAAACTTTGGTGAAGAAATCAGCAAGGTTATTTACAGATTAAATTTTCTTAATTATAAGTGCTTAATCAATAATCAAGTCATAGGTATAACTAAAATACTTTGGATCAATATGCTTTGTCCTATCGCCTTTAATGAAACCAACTGGCATTTGTGCAATACAAACACTATTATCTTCATACAAGATAGTTGGAGAATCATCATATGAAAATCCACAAGTTGTTTGAATGAATTTATCAATTGATTGCAACCAAATACATTCTTGAGATGCTTTATGTAACACAATAATTTTTGCATGGTTGGATGAAGTTGCAGTTATTATTTGTTTCATCGATTTCCATGATATTGCAGCTCCATATCTTAAAATTACATATCTTGTTTGAGATTTAGCTCTTACAATATCAGATTAGTATTCCACATCACAATATCCAACCAATTTTGGATCTATAGATTGTATACAGTATAATTCCAAGTCTTCAGTACCTTTTAAATAATATAATAAATATTTGATGCCATTCTAATGTCGTAGTGTTGGACGTGCACTATGTCTTACAAGAATATTAATTGCAAATGTAATATCTGGTCTTGTAGATATAGCCAAATATAAAAGTGCTCCAACCGCTGCAAGGTATGGATATTGATCTCCTAATATTTCCTCCTCAACTTCACATGGATGGTATAGATCATGACCATCACGACCACGTCCAACCATTGGTGTGGATAATAGATAAGCATCAATCATATTCAATCTTTGCAAGATTTGTTTAATATACATTAGTTGGTTGAGAAAAATACTACCATCTATGAGATGCATAATCTGAAGACCAATGTAGAAAGTTATTTTTTCTAATATTTTCATCTCAAATTCACATATAAGTAGGTTATTAGTTACAACACATGCAGATGTAGTGTCCACTAGGTTAAGATCATCAACATATATA